CATCAAATAGATGGATGAGATAGATCTAAAAATATACAATTTTGAAATAACAATATTAGTAAACATTAAAATTTAAGAATATGAATACGCAGCAGTGATACGATCTCTGAGGTAGTCTCCACTACGGACCGGAGGAAACCTACACATCCACCATCCCCTTCCAATTCAAATTCCAATTCCAAACAAACTATATATATATATATATATATATATATATATATATATATATATATATATATATATAGAGAGAGAGAGAGAGAGAGAGAGAGAGATATTCAAACGAAAACAATTGTGAAATTGAGAGTGCAAGAACATGGTTTAATCATATGTGAATACTTAATCACATTTGATTAATACATATAATAAAAAAAATTATGAATAATAAAAAAACCATATTTTTATATAAAAAAAAAGTACTATAGCGATATTAATGTTCATTTTAGAGAATTAAAAATTAAAAATTTTAGTATAATCAAGAAAAAAATCCGAAAAAATAACATTATAAATGGACACGCAAACACTACTTTTTGGTAGTGTCGAGTCTCAATGTGAATGATTATGTGGAGTTTGATTTCAATGTAGTGTTAACATATGTTTGTTCAATTGTGCAGATTTTAAATGTGTGCAATAATAATCGACTAGATGTTGGTATGTGTTTTGGATTTTGCTATTTGTGGTGAGAACGCAATTGCATATGTTTGCTGGATTTTATATTATCTGTGCATAGTTTGGAATTACTCTCCGTTACGACGAGCAAGTATAGAATTATAATAGATCATAGTGCTTGATTGTCTTTTATTTTGTTTCTGGTTGCTTTCCCACGTCTCAAGCTTATAGGATTTATATATTTTTGAATGGCAAATACAAATATATATATATATATATATATATATAATAAACTACTCATAAATTATTCCACCTATATCTACAATGTGACTTGAACCCTCGTCCTATATATATATATATATATATATATATATATATATATATATATATATAATAAACTACTCATAAATTATTCCACCTATATCTACAATGTGACTTGAACCCTCGACCTTAAGGAGGGAGGAGAACACCGACACCGCTCGGCTAGAGGCCCTTTGGTTATAAGATTTTATATAAGCTAAATTTAACATATATCATATCATTGTAACAAAGAGTCTTTTGAATTTTAATTTTTAATATTAAATTAATCTTTCCTTAAATCGTTGTAAAAAATATCCAAGATCTAATTAACAGTACTATATTAATGATTTTGCAAATAAATAGATTTTTAAGTCATAATTTTAAAATTGATTAAACTTGTTTTTTTATGTGAGGAAATTGTCAGAAAAGTCTCAATATTTTCGGAAATGTTTCACTTTAGTCTCCTAAAAAAATTTGAACATAAAAATCTCGATTATTTCATTTTGGCTAAAATTAACAAAGAAAATATGTTTTTCTTTTAACAGGAAATGACATGTTACGTATAAAATCAAATAATCGGGATTTTTCTATTCAAAAACAAAAATTGAGACTAAAATGAAACTTTTCTGAAAATATTGGGACTTTTTGCATGAAATAGGAAGAAGGCTTTTCTTCATTTTTCTTCTTGTCAAACCTACACCACAAGATGAAAGGTAGACATGTGTATTTTTCCAAGACAGCCAACAATTTCTTTCAAAAAACATGTGACTGTATTTTTTCAAGAATGAAGCGTATTCTTTCAAAAATGGTTAGAATAATAGATTTCTTAATTGTTTTCGTAAAAAAAACTTCTTACTTTCCTACCAAAAATTTCCTTCTTATTTGATCTTGACTCTCTCTCTCTCTCGATTTGACTTATTTGATTATACACAAAAAGTCAATTTTACCCTTTTAAAGAGTTTAAATTTAAAAACATTATTTCTTTTGCTTTTAATTACCATCATGTCATTGATAATCATAACCTTTGATTTCATAATCTAATGGCTATGCTTGTGTTATACATTCACATTTGATGATAACATGACATGATACATACCGTGGAGGAGATGATTCGCTGCAGCAACTTTTCAAGCACTCCACCATACAATCCGGGTTAGGATCCAAAAAGAAGGCCATCTGCATATCAATCACATTTAATATTTTCTCATCTACATGTTAACTTCTTACCCAAAAACATATATAATAACCAACCAATACAAACATATAAGCAAACGGCAAGACTGTGATTTCATTGGTTAGGAGAAAGTAATTACAGAATATCGCTCTTTCCCGGTTGGCATGACTCGGTGTAGTGTTGATCTGCAATATTGGATTTGTCAACTTCAATTTGTGTGAAAGAAAAAAAAATATATAATAATAATAATAATAATTGGTTTGGATTTTACCTGAACAAACAATTAGTCCATCTTTCCATCATGTCCCCAAGATTAACAATGAAGGCCCTGCACAGCACCAGCACAAAAATTAAAATATAGTATTCTAAAAGAATGATATCAATAAACTACTCACCCCTTCACATGACTTACATTCTCCCAAGTCCGTGGCTGCTTATGTTTTTCCTTACACACCTATCCTACCAATACACAAGAAATGATCAAAATAACTCACATAAACTTTTAAATAATGATTATTAAAAAGAAAAAAAAAATGTTATATTGACAAAGCATATTACCTGGAGACCAGGAACACCATCTGTTGCCAGAAGCGTGATCATTCCATAATCAGAATGTGCAGAGGCACCATATACAACCACTTCCTCCTCCTCCTCAATTTCACCTGCTGCTGCTGCATTTAATCCTGGATAGTGCAGAAGTCGTAGAAAACCATACGGTTTATCTAAAGCTCCTGTTTTTTTAAAGAAATCGTCTTCCAAATTTAAAGCCAGTGCAATCAAAGTGCTCAACCGTTCCCCAGTAGACCTGTTAATCCCACCCCCATCAGAATATTAACAAATTCATAAAAATAAAAAAAAAATAAAAAAAAAAGCAACACTCACAAGACTTTTTTGTAGTACTTCTCCATTGAGAATCTCCAACAAGGTAATATCTCTGCCAGATAGTAACAATGGAGCTGAAGAAACAAGTTGCATCCGTGCAAATATAAACAAACATAACAATAGCCAATAGGAGTACGTACCTTTAGAAGGCCATAGATTCAGATGACTCTCTTCACCTTCTAAAGGACCGATATGGAATGTTTCTTTTAAATCCCCTGCAGTTAAATAAATAAATTATACAAGAACCGAAACCTGTGAACAATTAAACTAGCTGATGCCTGAAGAATGACATGCACCTTTAGAAGTTGTAGAGGAATCAAGGTTCTCAGCATATATTGGGGCGAAACCCACGTTGTCCTTGCGAGCCAATTTCATTTTTTCTTCAAGTGGAAGCGAAAAAAACTTTCTGCTTTCATCAAACACATTTTCTAAAAGTTCTTCCTCTACCCCATGATTGACTAGATAAAAGAAGCCATACTCCATACACGCCTACTTCATCAAAACTAAACAAATGAGTTGCCTTCATTAATTAGATTTCCAAAAACACATTAGCAAGCTATTAACAAGGTCATGTCCAGGTATACAGATAATTACAATTAATCATTTTTTAGTCTTAGGTAAGTTGATCATAATTTTTTTTTTTTAAATTTATACCCAAATTTATCAGCTGATTAGTAAGATCAATACAAAATTGCCCTAATATCCACTTTAAACAATTGTTTATCTATCTCTATTTAAGTCACAATCACGCTCTCCATCATCTTTGTAATCGTCAAATTCGAGAATCACATGCAATACTGTCGATGTAAGCACATTAAAATCGTCTTCATTTTAATTTTTCTGCTATTGCAATTTTGCGAGTGTGTGTGTGTGATTATGATGTTAAGAGTGACCACCTGCAACGTTGGCATACTGTAGATAGGGTCGGTCCAAACGTATATATGATCGGGAGCAAAGAAAAAAAAAAAAGAAAAACCCCTCAAAGACAAAGATAATAAAAATTCAAAATGATATCATTTATTCTTCACTATATAGACAGGTTCAATTAATAACAAGCCAACCAAATTATTTATCTTTTGAGTTAATTTGAGTTTGAACCAACTTTAAACCTTAAAAATCATTCAGATAATATATATATATATATATATATATATATATATATATATATATATATATATATATATATATCCCAAAATTTTTGGATCCGCAGATGTGGGTCCTTGGGCGGTCACTCACCATGTGGACCGGCCCTTTGAATCAACTTTAAAGGCCAAAAAGTTGACAAATCTATTTCAAAGTATAATGTGTAGATAATATATCGAGTTATTGAGGGTACCATGGTTTAAAGTAGAATAAAAGGAAAAGGAGAATCAGATAGTAAAGCAATGTTTACAAATATAAATTGAAGCACAAAAAAACAACAAAAGGAGGACAAGAACTCAAATCAAGATGTAGGGTAAAAGATATAATTTCGATCAGTTAGAAGAGTCGATAAAACTAGTGGCAATTTAGAAATTAATTATAAGTTCAGAATGAAGAATAAACAATAAAAGAAGAACCTGCCGGATAGATTTAGCAGTGGAGATTCGATCTGATGAAGAAAGATCGATAACGGGAAGCACCACAGAGTCCGCCATTTTTGGTCGAATATCCGGTTTTGGTTCGGGTCTCTGTTTGCTTAGATTGCTAAATAGAAGTCTTTTCCACCGCCGTATTTAGGGCTAAGTTATCCAAAAAATGCACGTGCTTCGTGTGCCAAAAAGGAGCCACAAATTTAAAATGAATAAATGATTTCACATATGTAATGTAGAACATGTATGGATTTCCCTCCCTACAGTCCCACTCCTTCACCACACGATTTCTGGATTTCCATCGTTTTTTCTCATCATTCCAATCTTGATCCTTAGCCAGCTGATGCGATTTGTCTCAATTCATATCAAGCCCTAGTAATTTTTTCTTTGTTTGTCATTTTCACACAAACCCCATTTAACAAAACTTCCTTCTTGACCTAAAAGCTTTTCACTATATTATATGCTTTATGAGTTTTCTTGTTTCACTTTCCTTGTACCCATTTTGGTTTATACCAGCATCAGTAACACATATACTTGTTTGATTATTCACTGGATCCCAATCTGGTTGTCTGGGCATCAAGTTTAGTTTTCTCCGATATTGACATGCCCCAAGAATTCCCCTTGTTTTAATCAAGATTCTGTAAGTTGAATGTTTTTTTGTTTTTTTAAAGATTATAGATTTAATAATTTTAGTGGTATCATATTTGTATATAAGTAGCTTCTGGGACTTGTTTTTGTGGTGTAGATTGGACTTGGAGTAATGGATTTGAATCTGATTGATGCAAAATCAGTTTTTGTGTCAAATTTGATTGGTCCAAAAAGGATTTTGTCTTTCTCCACCTCCAACTTCATGTCCAGTTCTCTTAAGGTTTCTCCCCTCCTCTGTTCTTACAAAGGTATTGTTTTACTGCAATATTTATGTCAATCAAGATGGTTATTTTTGCAATTTGAATTGAATGGTCGATAATTATCGTGTACACTAAAATCATTTTCCCAATTTTACCAACTTATGATTATTAAAAAGTGCAAACTTGATTATTGATCGATTGTTGAAAATTGAAATATCTCTTATTGTTTAAAAGGTACTTCTCAAGAGGCTGCTTGTTTGAGTAGTTCAGAAGGTGCTGTTACTCTGATCGGACAAGAAAAATATGGCGTTGAAACTTATTCATATAGATTTGATGGTGCAAATGGCAGAAACCCTAGTATTTTCTTCAGGGAAAAACGAGTTCTTGATGGATTTAATGATGAGTATGGTGGAGTCGTTGTAAATCCAGAAAAACTACCGTTTAACACTAATGTCTTTGCCTCTACCCTTCGCTCATCTCTTTCAACTTGGAGGAGAGAGGTAAAATTCATATCAGTCGCTATATGAATTCCATTCCATCCAAAATAAGCTTCTTTCTAATAACTTTTTTTTTTAAATTTTTTTCAGCATAGCGTATGTTTTTTGGTCACAATGTTTATTGATTCTAATTGCAGGGTAAAAAGGGGATTTGGCTAAAGTTGCCACTAGAAAAATGCGATCTTGTTCCTATAGCAGTAAGGGTAAGCCTTTTCCTAGTTATGAAATATGATGGAAGGATGATTAATTTGTAAGTAAGGTTTGAGGTTTATTAATTTGTGTGTTACGTGTACACTTACAGGAAGGGTTTCAGTATCATCATGCAGAAGCAGGATACGTTATGATGACATATTGGATTCCTAATGAACCATGTATGCTACCCGCCAATGCTACCCATCAAGTAGGAGTTGGGGGTTTCGTGATGAACCACAAAAATGAGGTTCCAAAATCCAAAATCATTTTAAATTAATAAAATAAACGTGTGCCTATAATATAACATGTTTGTTGCAGGTTCTTGTGGTTCAAGAAAAACATTGTGCACCTGACCTTGTTGGCCTTTGGAAGCTACCAACCGGGTTCATTCTTGAGGTGTGCATTGTTAAAACTTAAAATTAAAAAAAAAAAAAAACAAAACACTTGCTTTCTTTCCACAATAATTACTCTTGTTAGTTAGTATTTAAAATAAAATAAATGTGTAACCAGTCGGAGGAGATTTTCACCGGGGCTGTAAGAGAAGTGAAGGAGGAAACCGGGGTAAGAATTAATCCATGAAAATTTATACTTTAACATGTATTACATGATTTATCGCCTTATTATTATTATTATTTTCAGATATCAACTGAATTTTTGGAAGTTATTGCGTTCAGGTATGCTGATAATATCAAGTTTTGACTTGGTTGTTCATCTGTACAATTATTATTTCCCTGATTTAGTAAATGTACAGGCATGCACACAATGTCGCTTTTGAAAAATCAGATTTGTTTTTCATCTGTATGCTGAGACCCGATTTCAACCGAGATCAAGATTGATGACCTTGAAGTTCAAGCAGCCAAGGTAAAATGGTTAAACAATTTATCTTGGTTTTGCTTTGTATTATTAGTTAGTTAATGCACATATCTATATTATTATAGTGGATGCCATTGATGGAGTTTGTAGAGCAACCATTAATCAAAGGTGACAACATGTTCAAGAAAATCATTGACATGTGCATTGCTAGGATTGGGAAGCGCTACTGTGGGTTATCTGTTCATAAAGTCATCTCCAAGTTTGACAACAGACTTTCTTCTTTGTATTATAACGTTGTTGATCATCAAACTCATGGTTGCTCTGATGATTATCGCTCCACTCCTATACTTGAACAACAAATCAACTAGTGGGAGTGTTGTTTTCAAGTCCTCCCCTACCTTCAACTTTGATTTCTATGTTGCATCTATCTATACTTATTTTGTTAAACACATGTTGTAACTAGATGTGACATGTATATAAAGCCATAACTGTATAGATTATTATTAAAATTCAGATGGGTTACATCCTTAGCTTATCACCAAGTAGTTAATAATTAAATTACGGAAATGGTCCTAGTGGTATGTCAAAAGTTTTGGATTCAGTTCAAATGTTTAATTTGTTGCGCAGAAGGTCCCTAATATGTTTCTTTTTGTTGCAAAGTTTGTTCCTTGACCGTGTAACTAGCTTAACCATGTATCCGTTAAGTTCAAACAAAATGACCATTTTGCCCTTATCTATGTCATCTTTGTCGATCTCTTTCATCCTTATGTTAATAAACCCTAAAATCAAACATAAATACAAAACAAAATCTAACCAAAATTCTAAGAAATCTACTTAATGTCAAGAAATTACTAAATTCAAACAAAAATATTACAATTTTCATACAATTTGACAATTTTTATTCAATCTAGGCGAATACCCGCGCGCTGCGCAGTGGGATAATTATGTAGTTTAATATGGTTATATATGGTTTAATGTATTGTGAATAAGCCATACATAAAACTTGTATGCGATTAAATAGCATGTATATTTTTTGATTTACAAATTTTTTATCATAATAATTAATGAATTTTTTTTACTATTAGTTTAAAACTTTAAATGTAATTTTTATGTACACATTAGTATCTAATGTAATTAATTGATATATGATTAGATATGGATTCTCGTTTGTGGTCGTCTATTTATGTTGAACCTTATAAAAATACATATTTAACGACTTTTATTAGTTTTACTATTGAATAAAAATGTTGTATTTTAAGTCAATATAAAAAATCTCATTCTCAATCTATTTTAAAATAGTGACATATTTTAAGTTAATATAAAAATTCATATTCTAGAACTAATGAAAAAGAAAAAAAACGGAGCCAAATTTTTTAACTATAATAAAGTTGATTCCAATTACCAAGTGCTCAATCGAACATAATATCATTCAATAAACATCATAAGATATTAAGATATATTCAAATTACGGACATCATATTTGTAAGTCATTCAAAATATATGAGACTATAGTGCCTAATATAACAATGTAATAACCAAATGACCCTAACATATTTTAAATGAAATATGATTATAATATATTATCTATGTAACTAAATTTCTGCACAACATGTGAGATTCGTCTACTATATGGTATTCTTCTAATATATTATATTATAGTATAAACATTATATTTGGAAAACCACTTTGAGTTATATTGTAGTTTATAACGTTAAATTTGTGATGGGTTGTATTTGACACACATTTGTGTATTTATATCTATATTATATATTTAAAACAAATCTTATATAAACATCCAACCTAAATATTCATCTTCAAGTTTTCTTTCTTCGCCACGTAAACAAACTTTTGTTATAAAGCCAAAAATGGAATAAAAGACACACTTAATTGTATGATCATGATATATTGTATTTTGATTGGGGATTGTATAAAACATGCATGAGCATATATTATTAATTTATCTCCAACGTATCAAACGGATTACCCATTTACTAAAGTATAAAACCCAAAAACTCAAACATGTTCTAATACCATACAAATGCATGAGGTTTTAGCAAATTATTATCTCATATGAATTACCATTGATTATGTGTGATTAATTATTAAGAAGGTGAAAAGGTTTGGGGATTTTAAATGCATGAGGTTTTAGCAAATTATTGTGGCGGGTTTCAAATGCATGACATTCAAGGGAAAATGCAAGCTTTATAAGTATGTAAGATACTTAATATTCTCAATATTTATGATATCTCTTTATTGAAACTTGTGTAAATGCTAACTTTTTTCTCTTTCCACTGTTACACAGTCTGCGAATGTATTGCTAAAGTTCATATTTAAATGACAATATTCCTTCAACATCAAATACATTGCATTCCACCTATTACACATTTGTTGTTCAAATAAATGCAAAGAGATACCTCATCGTGTTCCCGAAACTCTGAAAACCAATATAGTTGCTATTTATGACTAAGTCCTTTGTCCAAATCATGTTCCTTGTTGCAAACACAATCATATTATCAAAAGATTTATCGTAACACTATCTTTTTATTTGTAAGTTTTCTAAATTTCTAAATTTTCATATTTTTAAATTTCAAAGTATGTAAGACGGAATCATGCAGTAGAACATTTTGGCCCAAGAGTACCTCAACTTAATAAAAACAAGGGACATGTACGTTAAAGTTATTTTTTATGCTCTTAGTTTCTTATAATTGTTTCAATATTTGCAAAGTTAAACTAAAGTAGGTTTCTAATTGTAAAACCAAGTAAGAGTTGTGGCACGTTAAAGTAAATTTATTTATTTTTCTTAACTCATTAGATGATCGACATAGTTTTGAATAAGATGATCATAATCCCTATTAGATTCGAGTTTCTCATCCTTTTGCCTAGTTGATTCAAAACTTTGTTTTATGAGAGTCCTAAGCACCTAGAAGGTCCAGACTCATGTTTATTCAGATAAACATGTTGATACGAAGTTGGTCTTATCATGTATTTGTGGTTAATTAGAATGGGTCATTAGTATGAACTACTTCCAATAGAAAATTACATCGCCTAATGATGCAAATGTCATTTATCTTGATAAACAAGTGTATTTCTCGTTAGCAATTCACAAAACGAGTTTATAAATTCATAAGAATAATCATATAATTAGGAATAAATATTCTAAGGAATTATATCAGTGAATAAAACGAATAAAAGGTATTATACAAATTTAAATGATTAAATTATAAATAAAGATGAATTAATAATTAAATAAATAAGTTTAACAATAATTAATAATAAAATTGATAAAGAAATGAGTATTTTGGGGGATTGTAATCTTTTTCTAGAAAAGGGATTGAAGGTGTCAAGTTTTAAAACCATCTTTTGTCAAGAAAATTGTTTTGTGGGTAGAAACCGTCACTATGGGAAAGTTATGGGAAAAAAGTGAAAATCTCGTTTATTCTTTGGGAGATCAACGGGATGAAATGTTGGGATTTTATCTCTAATGGCCGAATCTACTTGGTATTCGGATATAAGGAAGACTAAGCACTAGTTCATCCCATTTCATCAGCATGTGACACCAAAAGCGGAGAGAGATAAAGAAGAAAAAGAAGGCAGCGGCAAAAGATAGGGTGGCTACCTGAAGTTTGCTATCGAAGGAAGGGTTGCCGGAGGAGAAACAAGGTATCGGGGTGGGGCTGTGAAATTAATCAGCTGAAGAAGGTCGGCTAAGACTTAAGGAATCAAAAAATATGATTTTTGGAGAAAACCCTATGCCACAACATGTCGTGAGATTAAATGAAATGCGTGTTTTGGAAATGTCACGACGTGACATGAAGATGGCCATGTTGTGGTAGCTGTTGTAGCTCAAACCCGGGATTTTTAGGGTTTACCTAGGGCTGACAATTCTCGACACGACCCGCGACACGACCCGCAACACGACACGAAATAAATGGGTTTGGGTTGAGTTTTTCAACCCGCCAACCCGTTTATTAAACGGGTCATATATGAGTTTCTCAAAAAATAAACGGGTTGACCCGCCAACTCGTTTATATTCTCAATAAAAAAAATATTTTATTTTTAAATGTATTTATATATCAAGTATTAATATTTAATAAGTATTATATAATATATACCATTGATTCATATACCATTTGACTATTTTAACATTTTGACTTGTGGTGGATGGTCTAAGGTCGTAAGTCGTAACCTCTAAGGCTAAGTCTGTAACATGTTTCTATAAATGTTTTTAATTTTCATTTGGATGTTTAAGACTTAAATGTCTAAAATTTGGACCCACGAACCCAAATCTGACCCACGAACCCGCCAACCTGTGAACCCGTATAAATAAATGGGTTGGCGGGTCATATATGGGTTTATGTTCCAAACCCGCCAACCCGTGACCTGTATATTTAAATGGGTCGTGTTTGGGTTGGCATATTTTGACCCGCCAACCCGCGAAACGCCAACCCGAACACGACACGATTGTCAGGCCTAGGTTTACCTATATATATATATATATATATATATATATATATATAGAGAGAGAGAGAGAGAGAGAGGGGAGAGAGAGTTAGGTTCACATGTTTCCTACAAGTATTGTATGCATGTATGGACCAATGAGAATTTAGCAATAATGTAATAACTAAATAAATTAAAAGGGTAAATTAGTAAATCATGACTCTAAAATTATGGTAATTGAGATAAATGGGGGATTGATTTAAAATCACCAAAATAAATATGTTGACCTAATAATCAAACCGGCATATTTCTTCCATTCGTTCGTCCTCAGAAACATTGTCACACCCCCAAACTGATTTGGCAGAAACATTTGGGGGCGGAGGACGTCATGTACAATATTATAACAATGCATAATAGTAAACAAGCACAACATCATCCATTGCATTAATAGTATAGTTGTATACATGTGTGTTCTGATTGTAAATGTAAGACACCAAAAATATATTTCAACAATAAAAGACGAGTCTGAAAGTCCTCTGTCTTCTCAAAACCTGTCATTTGTACCTGTTTATTGTTGACCTGAGAATACAAGTTATTTTGAAAGAGAGTATGAACATTTAAGCTAGTGAATTCATAAGTATTTAGTGTCAAATGTTGTATGAGTTTGAAGAAAGTTCTTGTAAATGTTTGTATCTCCTAGAAAATCCTATATTTTCTACTACTAGATATGTAGCCTTCCACCAAGGCCCGAATGTTCTGAATGTTGTTTGTTTGTAAAAAAGTGCTTTTCCCAAGTATGACTATCATTACCAAAATATAGTTTTACATTACCGTTAATGTGAGAAGATCACAATGTGAATGCAATGGGAAAATAATAATGTACTGTAGTATTGTATATAATAACTATTGTTGTACTAATAACCTTAAACCAATTGTTAATTAAGGTATAATGTGATATTATTGTAACCATGCTTGATCGACTAGTACAAAACACGACGCTCGAAGACGTCGAAATGTTATGACATTCGTCACCCGTAGGCCTACAGTCCCACTGTAGCTAGCAGCATGGTGTAGGATGGTCAATCTAGTATAGATCTATACAAAAATTCACGCTCTCCCTCCAGGAGACTCTGGTTACAAAACATGGCACAACAGTATGATGCCATGCCATGAAGTAGTGGAACACATTAATGTTATAGTATTCTTGTATTTGTATAGTATGCTCTATATGTTCTAGTGCATTATATGTTATCTTTGTATAGTGTATAGTATGTTCTCTTTGT